GTTCTTACCCACGAAAGCTTATGCTCCCAATACTTCTGTTAGTCTTAAAGGTGCCACAGGACCCTCTGTTGCTTATTTCACATTGCTTACTCTTACAATGAGGACCATGGTCTAATGGTCAGAAACAGCATATGATAGGGGCCGGCACAAACTAGAAAAAAATCTGGGTAGCTACACTTCTGCTTACTCTGTTAAAACACCCTCTGAATTTTGATAAAATGCAAAATTAAGATACCTTGTATCTGAGTGAGAGGGGAAAAAAGGAAATGTGTTTAAACTTGGTGTAATTCTGACATCATGTTGCATACTACATTTACATGAAATTAATTGTCCAAGTTCTTGCTATAAATTTAACATTGCTGTGAGAAGCAAGGGTTTAATATTGGAATCCATTAAAAGCAATCTGGCCTAAAATGAGTGCAAATGGTGGGATAACTTTGTTTGAACTTCTAACTAGAGATTGAGGGTAATATTTTAAAAAATGCCTACATTACATTTTTCAACCGTGTTTTAGTTTTTATAGAAGTGACTTTCAATGAAGGTTAGACTCCTATGTTGCTTAATTTTACCCTAACTATATAACAATCCTCAACAATGTTGAGGTGCAGGAGAAATGGGAGAGAGAGAGATGGAGGTAGGAGCAGAAGTCCACCAGATTCTCTTACCTTGTGAGCCCAAAGGAGAAATACTCAGTTTTTCATTAAGGCATGACTAGTGCTCATCTTCTGAGGGCTAACTAGTTTAAAAAAGGGTTCACTCAGGCAACAGGAAATGAGATGATTCCTTCTGTGTCAAGAACTGCTAGCCAACCCAGGGATCTGTGACAAGGTGTAGTTTATATGGTAGAGGTGAGGAAGAAGAGAGCGTCTTTGTTGTTGTGATTGTAGCAGATACTGTCACATATGAGCTCTTTGCCATTCAATATATGGGTAAGATTTGTTGTCACTCTTGGTTGACATGTAAGAAGCATCTTAAAATGCAAATACTTATTTGTTTAAAATATGTTAGTGTGAAGTCTAAGAAATTACAAAAAGGAACGAAGGTACTTACACTAAAAGTTTGGTCTTGCATTGGGGGAAAATAAAACTTCAGGCATTTTAATACACTGGAGTGGCTTGTTGAAGTCAAATGTAACATTAATTTAAAGTATTTTCTCTGTTCCTATAGTGACACGGACTCTCATGTATCAAGTTCTACCTCAGTTCGCTTTTATCCACATGATCTAGTAAGTTGTTTTTTTAATTGTTTGTATGATAAAGCAACCTTGTGCCTATTTGCATGCACATTTTTAGAGCACTGATCCACCTTACCTTGTTCTACCAGTTTTAAAAAAGCAACTTTTTTGACTTGGAAGGAGCTCATATTCAGTATTGCAGTGCCTTCAAACATATATACATGCAAATTTTAAAGCTAAATTCATCTACAAGCATAACTACATGAGTAATCTACACCTTTTAAAATTGAACAAAGACTATAATATGATCTTCAATTTGTATAATTTGATCATAAAACATGTTGGAATTAGGGGTTCTTCTGACAATTGTCATAAAGCTGACCAAAAGATTGATGCATGTACTCAGATAGAGCCCCATTTCTATGCACCTCTAAGATCTGTAGGACACAGGAGGTGTGAATTTCTATTCTGCAGTCCTCAGAACCAATCATTACTCTCCTATCAAGGTATACACCCTGCCACCAGGATCTAATGCGCAGAGGTTAGAACGTGTGAAGTGAGACACTTAAGTAAAGCCAAAGGCCCACACCAAATCACTGAACGGACAGTACCTGTGCAAAAAATTCTGCAGTTCCCAGTATTCTTGTGACACACAGATCTCTGATATTACTGTCAACTCCAAACTAACCTGTGTTGTACTTCCTTCAGCGTTCTACCATTCCCATACCATTCAATCCGCAAATAATCAGTGTTCTGATGATCCACACAACTTATGGTTGAATGATGAAACTTGTTAAATCACGTAACCAAAACCACAGAAAGGCTGGAATTTTGATGCAGAATAGTGCAGAGCAGAAAGAAGCTTGTTTCTTCCTGGCCCTGCACAGGGTTATGTGATCTCCACAGCTCAATCCTGATGTCTGTTGGAAACACTGTGAGCATCCTTTCAAGGGAGAGCTCCCACTGATTGATGGGTACTACCTGTGTATGCAGCCCCATCCTCTGTTCCCCTTTCTTGTAACTATGCAAATTCAGGAAATTCAGAGAAACTCAAACCTTATGAATACAAATTGACACTTTAAGTCTCTACTTAGCTGCATGGATCATTAAGATGTGACAAATCTTTTGTAGTGACATTGCTTTAAAAGGATTCTGTCAACTTTTAAAAAACGAATTTGAAAAAAATTCAGGTTTCTGGTAGGACTCCATTTTAAATTGTATGGTCTGAATTTTGAAAATTCCTCTTAAAAAAAAAAAGGACAATATAGGAGAACTCTGAAACTGACTATACACACATAGCTGTTGAATGTACAAAGTAACCAAACCGCAAAATAGAACCTTTTATTTTGTTTACAATAATCTTAGATGTAACTATCTAGGTACACAATTTTTAGGCAGGTGTTGTTGGTTTTTGTTGTTGTTGTTCAAATTGACAATGTCTGTCTAATTAAAAAAAAAAAGCTTAAATTAAATGCCAGCTACAACTCCTTATTAAAATAATTTTTACAATCTCTGCAGCATTATACGTAAAGAATAAATGGGATCTCTTTAAAATGTCGCTTGGCCTTTTCACAGTATTTACACATTTGCTCAGGCAGTGTGGTTTGTACTACATACTTTTGTAACACTGCTTCTCACTCTTCAGTCACGTGTATCCTGAGGTATCAATAGTTTTGTGTGTTCTGTGGTGTTACTGAGATTTCAGGGAAGAACTCTGACATTAAATGGCAGGGGAAGGAAGAGTTAGGAAAGCACATGGCCAATCATGAATAATGCTTTGCTAGTGAGAGCAAACCCTATTGTTTAAAACTTAAGTGTATATTAAATACTCTAAGCATAAGTCTGTTCATTGAAACATGAGTATGTTGCTTTGCCTCACAAAATCAACCACCGAGTTGAGCATGGGTTTGCATGCAGCATAGCTGACTACATGAGATGTCAATGTTTAGCCACTTACCTAAAATCAGAATTAGTCTCTCTCTGTGGCAAGTATTACTTTTGCTTGCCTCATTAGTTCACCTCTCTTCAGATTTGGAGTTTCCACGATAAATAGAATAATTAGTTTAGCAGACACTTGCATGCTGCAAAAGTAAGAATGCCAAATTATCTTTGCATGCACCTCTGCTGGTGCCACCCGCATGTTGGTCTATGGGCAGAGAAAATAAGTGGTAATTAGTAAATAGTATTTCAAAACCAAAACTACTTAATCTTCAAAGATGTAGTTAGTAGAAAGTGTAATTATAACTTGAAAGTACTCTTAATACTTTTTTTTTTTAGCTTTCTCTTCCTCAGATCAGGTTGAACAGGCTGTTAACTATAGATACAGATCTGCTGGAGCACCAAGACATTGACCTAAGCCCTGACCTTCAGGACCGTATGCAATCACAAGAGGAAGCAGCCCAGAAAGTTAAACAATACTATCGCTTTTGGATCCTACCCAAGCTGTGGATTGGCATTAATTTTGATAGGCTAACTCTCTTGGCTTTGTTTGATAGGTGAGATCCTCATGTACTACCAGATTGCAGCTCAGAGGAGCAAAGATTAAGATTTGTATCTAAATTGTGAATAATATATCATATAGTACAAATGGATGTATCCTTGGCAAGACATATAAATTTATTAAGCACTGAAAAAAGAAACCGAACATAATTTAATTGTACTAATATTATGAAAGCTAACTTCTATTTTTTTCCTCCCACCCCCATTAGTGTTAACATGGAAAATTCCAAATTCTTGATTCAAATATAAGATACCTTGTATGGAAACCAGATAGTGACTTCTCTAGGAACTGTTTAAAAACAGAATGAGAAGGATTGCTGTTGCACACTTGGCTGTAAAACAAGATAATTGGCTTGGTACAAGATAACGTTCGCTTCAGAACCATTCCAAATGATGGTTACAAACTGAAATTATGCAAGTATGATTCAAGAGGTGACAGCAATTCCAGAGTGTTATCTTATAGGCAGAAACAGCTAAATCATGTTACTTGGTGTCACCTATTGAAATAAAGTGAGCACAAATCCCTTTTGGCCATGTTCAGTGTATCGAAGTTTAAACAGTAATTTTAAATTTTCCTCAGCGTGATTGTCTGTGCAATAATAACTATGTAAACACCTATTATTTCTGTTAGTCAGCATTACCCTGTAGTTTGCTTAGTCTGAATTGAGTGGCTTAGTGCCACTGAGTGAGAGAGTAATTTCAACTCTTGCACTACACAGTCCTGTTAAATAAATAACCATGTTGCATACAAATAAGATGGCTAAAGTATTTTTTTTTCTTGCCTTCCCTAATGTGATGATGGGCTCCTGAGCATCCTTTATGGAATTCTGAGACAGGCCCTTGTTACAGGCCACCATTCTTCATCTAGCAGAGCATTTAACTACTTTCTGAGGTCATCAAAGCTGCTTCTAAAGGCCCAATTTTTCAAGATGCTGAATGTCTTCAGCCTTCATTGAACTCATGCAGTGGATGTCGAATGAGGGGTGGAGGAGAGAAAGGAAGGGGCAATGGGTCATTTAGTTGTGGTTTGGAAAGCAAGGCAGCCCTGCACTTACCCAGCTGTGGCGGCCCTGGGCCAGAGGGCTGGGCCTCGTTCTTCATCCTGGGCGTTGCAACCTGGTATACGGGGTCGGAGTGCCATTTAGATTTAGCTGGGCCAAATCTGAGTGAGTGGCATTGCAACATGGTGTACTTGGCAAAGCAAGATGTCCAGTCGTGTGGGACAGGAGCTGCTGCTGCTGGGTGAGACCAGGCTCTCCCTCCAGCCCCTTATGAAAATTTGTGTTATACACCACCTATTATCAACTGTAAATATGCTTCAGAAGGTACCATGTGTACATCAAAAGGCTGCTGGGATGGCAATCGTGTCCCCTGCTGCCCCCATTCCCATTTATCTCAATCACTGAACTCATGGTAGCTTCTGCCTAAGCTTTGTTAATAGATATGTATTACAGTTTGCTAATATGTACTATGCAAGAGTTCAGGCCCATTTTGCTACCTGCAGCATATCTTATTTGCTAGACTTCTCTGCTAGCTGTTCTCTGCCAATTTCTTCTAAACCTATCCAGCTTTTTTATATTACTTTTTTTTTCCCCCCACAGGAATCGTGAGATCCTTGAAAATGTGTTAGCTGTCATCCTAGCTATTTTAGTTGCTTTCCTGGGTTCTGTACTCCTTATAGAGGGCTTTTTCAAGGATATCTGGGTCTTCCAGTTTTGCCTGGTAATAGCCAGTTGTCAGTACTCACTACTCAAGGTACCTTAGTTTTTTATCTTCATTTTTAATTACAGTTTTGAACAATAGAAATAAACTGAGGACTTGTGTGACAAACTTTCTTGTTCAAAGGCGTCTGTGAAGGTTGAGTACTTAGGCTACCAAGAACTTTGGAAAGAGAGCTGTATAGAAGTTTGTAAAACAAAAATTTTGGCTTCTGCTAAAGTTTGGAATAAGGCCCCACAAGGTCATTTCATTGGAGTAGCCTTGGGTATATTTGTTAAACAGGAACAATAAAAATCGAAACCTCTCTGCCCATGACATTCCCCTGTGGTCAGGGGAAACAACTGAATTGAAACCCGATTGTTATAAAAAAGGGAGTGATTGGCAATGTGTTCTGTTAGGACCCTGGACCTTTGGAACTCGCTTCCTTCTGGTCTGGTATAGCCTGAGGCCTGGTCCACACTAACCCCCCACTTCGAACTAAGATACGCAACTTCAGCTACGTGAATAACCTTAGTTCGAACTTACCGCAGGAGTACCGGCGTCGACGGCGAGCACTTCCGGGATCGATTTATCTAAACAAGACGCGATAAATCGATCCCAGAAGATCGATTGCTTACCGCCGGACCCGGAGATAAGTATAGACCTACCCTGAGTGTGTTACCCATACAGAGACACAGCAAGGGCCCATCCTTTCTCCCTGGCCCATTGGAGATATGAGTGTTGGTAGAGTTGGGTATTGGTGGTGTGGGGATTATGTGGAGATGTCAGTTTTTATTTTTTTATTTGATTTGAGGAGTCTGTCGTATTTTTAAAAGATTGGCAACGAAGGTCAGAACATTGAAGGACACTTTTATTGTAATTTATTTTATTTTAGAAAAAGGAATATCTTTTTCTACTCTATATCATAGCATTTCACCAGATGTCAAATTGCCAAGAAGGTCATTCCAAAATAGAGTTAGGTGAAAAGATTGCTTACATTCTAAGAAGCAAAGGGAGTTTGAGAAAAGAAGAATGGGTCCGAAGTAATTTGGACCTCCTCTAGCATGAGAATTTCTTCTATAAAACTTAGATAATCTGTGTTGTGTTATAAGACTTGTAAAAATGAATCTTCCAGAGTCTCAATCTCTATTTAACTGTCTACTCATGATTCAAAAACTTGCTGTAAGAAGTTAACTGCTTTTGCATGCTAGTCCTTAGTGAAAATGTGTGCAGAGAAGAAGCTTGTCAAAGTTTAATTTCCAAAGTAAAAAGTTACTCAGTGTCAGATTAAGTATCAGAGGGGTAGCCGTGTTAGTCTGGATCTGTAAAAAGCAACAGAGAGTCCTGTGGCACCTTTAAGACTAACAGATGTATTGGAGCATAAGCTTTCGTGGGTGAATGCCCACTTCCTGCATCCGACAAAGTGGGCAT